GTGTCTCATAATATTTACATTTAAGCTCCATTGCTAGACTCTACTAAGAATGAACTATGTGACTTTGAGTAAGTCACTAAACATGTTTGAGTCAATTTACTCATAAATAAAAAACATTTTTTAAAAGATTTATTTATTTATTTTAGAGTGAGAGAGCATGAGTGGGAAATGCAGAGGGAGAATCTCAAGCAGACTCCATGCTGAGCATGGAGCCCCATGCAGGTCTTAATCCCACAGCCTGAAGACCAGGACTCAGAGACCACGATCTGAGCTGAAACCAAGAGTCAGATGTTCAACTGACTGTGCCACCCAGGTGCCCCTCAAAAACATGTTCTAATTCAGCAGTCTTAATTTCAGATGGTTTAAATTATATATTTCTGGGTTTGTACAAGACTTGAAAGCACATACCAAAATTAAGATTTCTGCATAACCTTTAAAAACCTAAAATTATGGCTACACTAACTGTTTTCACTGATAAATTCTTGTAATTATTTTCTGACTTATTCGGATCAATATAGAATGAGGTGGCTATTCCCATTCTGGCTATCATTGCTATACCAAGTATCAGTGATATAATCGGCTTCTCAACTTTTAATTAGTGTAGTATTATTTTTGTGTGTTTAGAAGGAATTGTTCATTTAATCATTTATTTCACGAATACTTATTAAGTGTCTATTAACCAGGCATTTTTCCAGGTGATGGGCTCTCGCATTTAGTGAATGGAAGAAGGGAGGGGAGAAAAGCTGCTGCCATTAAAGAAGATTTTTCCTATTTTTAACTCTTCTATATAATCTGTCTCTCCAATTAGTAGAACATGAAGGTTTTAGACCACCCATATTATTCTAAGACTCAAGGAAACTCTCCCATGGTTAATGCTTCTTAAAAGCAAAAGAAAAGTACCTACTTTTTCATTTGTCCAGATAATGTAGGGAGTGAGTGCAAAGTGCTTCCACTCAATCCTTCTAAAGATAATACACTGGAAACATTTTGGTGGGTGTGAATCATTCAGACAAGCATTCTTCACTCAAAAATAGAAACTAGCTTTATTTGTTCCAGATGTTATACAGCTGCAGGGAAGTTAAAGCCAGTGGTCCTGTTTTCAATGCAACCAAACTCTTATTGCATTTGGAATTTCTCAGTCAATGAACTCATATTACTCATTCTAAGATCTGCACAATTTTCTTTTTTCCACTGTTACCATTCACAAACAACTATGTTTCATGGGAACCACTTTTCAGAGTTAATGAGTCTACATCTGTGTTGTACAAAGGAGAGACATCCTGTTTATCACAGTTTCCACCTTTCGTTTATCTTGACCTTTTAAAATTTTAAGTGTAATATATATATATTTTTTAAAGATTTTACTTATTTATTTGAGAGAGAGAAAGTGCATGAGTGGGATGGGGAGCAGGGGAGAGGGAGAAGCAGGCTCGCCATTGAGCAGGGAGCCTGGCAGGTCTGGATTCCAGGATCTGATCATGGCATGAGCCCAAAGCAGATGCCCAACCGACTGAGCCACCTGGGCACCCCAGTGTGAAATACTTCAAAGAGATTATGTGAAGGAAAGGAAAAGGAGAGTTGAGTTGTATTGTTCTTACAGTATTTTGGAGTACATTATGGTGTTATAAGTTATGGTGTTCATTTAAGGAAGAATTTCAAATAAAATTATTAATAAAAACATTAAGTAATTCTTATCATTGTGCATTTGTAATTTTAAAAACCTGACAGCTTATTTTTTTTATTCTTCTGTAGGTCTGTAAGAGATGCTGTATGGGTGCATGAAATATGAAAGGATCATGGCTCTTAGAAGAAGGTAAGTTATTATGTAGATGTACATGCTAATTTCATATCTAGCCCATAAAAATTAAAATATATGTGTTATATTTTGTCTGAGGTCAAATGTTTGAGAACACTTATGGTTTGAAAACAGAGTGCCAGATCTCTTGAGATTCTTGTCTTTTTAGGGAGAAGATTTTCGCCAATTGTGGTTCATAGATAATGTGTAGTAGAATCACACTGGCTGCTTGTGAAAATATGTACAGCTGAGTCAGAATCTCTGGGACCAGCTGAGTCAGAATCTCTGAGAACTGGGGCTGTAGAGGGATCCTAGAGATCAGGAAACAGCAACAACACTCACATCTTCCATTTGTGAATGTGAAAACTCTGAGAAATTAGGTGAATTTCACCAGGCCATGCAGCCAGTTAATTGTAAAGTAAGGCATAGAACTTTGTTTATTGATGCTGAAACCAGCATTCTTTTCCAGTAGGTCAGCTATAAGTTTTTATCTTCAAAAAGATAAAATTAAAAGAAAAATTAAATAAATATAAGTATCTAAGTAATATCAAGTGTCCTACCCAATGATTCTTTTATAATTAATTCTTTTACTAATTCTTTCCTGTCACCAGTAATTAACTAGATGCTTATTCTTTCTCCAGGATTTGGAAATACCTTTCCTTCAGAATCATCATGAATCTTTTGGATTGTAATGAAATTATAATCAAAACCCTTCTCATCCCCTAGGGACACCTGGGTAACTCAGTTCGTTAAGCGTCTGACTTCGGCTCAGGTCATGATCCCAGGGTCCTGGGATCGAGTTCTGCATCGGGCTCCCTGCTCAGTGGGGAGTCTGCTTCTCTCTCTGCCCCTCCCCCTGCTCCTTCTCTCTCTCTTTCTCCTTCACTCTCTCTCTCTCACTCAAATAAATAAATAAAATCTAAAAAAGAAAAAACTTCCTCCCCCAGAGAAGAAAATGTTATATTTCATGTATTGAAAATTAAATCTTTGAAATCTCATGATTAATTATTTAGGAAGTGAGTGGTTTAGTAAAGTTATTTAAACCATGTTCAAGGAACAGTTTGTATTCAATAATGATTCCACAAAGACTATTAAAACTGTAATTCATGACATACGTTCTTGAAGTATGTATATGCCATTAGTTAAAATATAGCCCTACAGTAGTTTAAGTGTGGTATCATTCAAAACTGATTTAAAAATTTATTTCACACCTCTTAATGAAGCCATTAATTATTTTATATCTTTAGCCTTCTAAAAGTCTCTGTGAATATAATTAAGTTTCCTGTACTTTGCTTCAATTTTGACACACATTTGTGAGGAAAGAGTCACCACTAGAGAAAAGGTGTGCTGATATTTATCAGTTCATAATAATTATGGACCAAATGATTTTCATGTTCAGTCCTTCATTTTACTAATGAGAAACCCGAGACCAATAAAAAAGTAGGGTACTTTTTTTCTTAATTTTGTTTATTTAAGTAATCTCTACAACCCCACATGGGGCTTGAACTCATGATCCCAAGATCAAGAGTTGTATGCTCCTCCTACTGCGCCAGCCAGGTGCCCCAAGAGTAGTGTTCTTTTGAAGGAGATAATGTTGTGTCAGAAACTGCTAGTTGTCTACCCAAACTTCTTTCTCCCTTTTCCAGAACTTCTGATTTCAGTGAGGTGTATGACCACCTGAACAAAGATTATATTTCCCAGCCTTCCATGTAGATAGATATGGCCATGTGACTTAAGTTTTTGCCATGGAATATAAGTGAACCTTTGTGTGGTAGCTTTTGGGAAACTTCCTTAAAAGGCACTGGGGCAGGGGTGTCCTTTGCACCATTTGAACTCCGTCCATGAATTCTGTTTGAAATATGGTTGTTTGGGCTAGAGATCTGTTTTGGTCCAAGAGGATGAGGGTCATTTTGGCTTAGATGACTGTGGAGCTGGCATCCTAATTTTGGACTGACAATTGAGCCTCATACATGGGAAAGAAAGAAGCTTCTATTCTGTTAAGTCATTGTGTTGGAGTTGTATCTGATTGCAGACAACAATCCATTTCTTACCACAGAATTTCATTTATTCATTCTTTGAGCACATAGTTTGGAGCAATTTTTATGAGCAAGAAATTATACTAAGTGGATATGAAACAAAATCATTTTATTTTATTTTTTTAAATTTCTAAAAAGTTTTGGAAAAGTTTTTATAACCAGACTCCCATTTTCCTTTGGTCCATCCTTGTCTCTATCCCAGGCATATCATAAAATTCCTATTTCTTTCACTGTGAAGGAATACTTTTCTTGACTTGGATTTTAGACTGTTGTTGTCATATGAGTAACAAGTTTTCCAAGAGTTAAAAAAAAATGCCTAAGCAACTCAAGCACATATTACTTTAAGTAAAGTTTTAACCTTTACCCCTAAACATACAAGTCATGATTAAAAGTCATGATGCAAACACAGTCATTGAAAATATGTAAGAGGTAAATATTTGTCCTTGAACAAATTCAAAATATCATGGGACATGTCTTTAAAATATTTAAATAAAATGTATTTTCTAAGTTAACACTTAGAAATACACTAAGGGTAATATTATTTTCAGTGTTAGTCACATATAAAAAGGGATGTTAGAATTCTGGGAACATTTGTGAGGTGAGAGTCTCTCTTCTGTAAATGATTTATCTTCCCGTTAAGAGCAAAAAGTACCAGACATCCCCAGGATCAGAGCACACAAATGCACTGCTCACTGGCTCCCTGATCTAATTTGCTGGTAGGCTTGGAGAAGCAGTCTCACTTGTAAGTTCTATTTAAATTCCCCACAAACTCTTCCTTATTGATTTCTTTTTTTTTTTTTTTAAGATTTTATTTATTTGACAGAGAGAGACACAATGAGAGAGGGAACACAAGCAGGGGGAGTGGGAGAGGGAGAAGCAGGCTTTCCGCGGAGCAGGGAGCCTGATGTGGGGCTCAATCCCAGGACCCTGGGACCATGACCTGAGCCGAAGGCAGATGCTTAACGACGGAGCCACCCAGGCGCCCCTTTCCTATTGATTTCTGATAATTGATTAAGTTTGGAGTTCTTTTTCTTTAAGAAAATGTTTCAACACAGTCTTTTATTTCTAGATTTAAATACTGAAGAGTGTCAAATATTTAATAGATTTTTTAATAATGGAAGAAATACAATAAAATTAGGTGTGATATATAAATGTAAAAGCAGTCTTACCTTTGGATCTACATTGAGAATTTTTCTGTCTCTTTTGTATTTGAAAAGTAAGCCTTCTGGATTATCAGCAATCACTTGATAATTGGGAGTTGAATTCCAAACAGCAATATGACTGTCCCAGTTGTAAAAGCTAGAAAAATAAATATTTATTAGAAATTAATATGTCTGATACAATAAATTGACAAATATATTTCAGAAAATATTTGGAGCAGTTCAGTTTCAAGATAAATGAATTGGATCATAGTCTGTATAACCATGTAAGACACATGTGTGATTAAAATTCTTGCAGAAGATATTAGACTGGGTTTTTCTCAAATTATTTAAATACATATTTATGATGATTTTGCAAAATTTCCTGGTTTGGACACTTTATGAACTAGGGCCTAGTCCAGTATTATATTCCCCAGGAAGTCAAGAAGAAAATTGATGCAATTTGAAGCTATTTCTTCTAGCTCAGATTCTTCAGGGTCTTAAGAGTATTCAGGGTATTAAGAGACTGTTTACTAGAAGGAAAGGCAGGCTAAGTCACCTCTTTTCATTCAAAACAATTTAATTCATTTCTTTCAGGCTTTATTTTTCAATAATATGTTTCCCAGGGAGTGAGGAAACTATGTGAGTGTGAGAGGTTACCATAGGCCAGGCATGATGTGATGTTTTCTAGCACTATTACCCACATGAAGTTGTTTTCATTTCACAGACCAGGCAAGTAGGCTAGGGAGGTCAAATGACATGGATAAGGCCCTGCAACTAATATATCATAGGACTAATATTTCAACCCAGATCTGTGCGTTTCAAGGCACAAGTGTGTTCTTCCTACTGTTCAACACTGCCTGCATTTTATCTTTTTTTTTTTTTCGGTTGATCTGTGGAAACTTCTTATTTTTTCCATGTCTGGCTTTATACCTACTTGTCAAAAATTAATATAATACCATAATATGAGTTGTAAGAATTCTCAATATATTAATTTCACATATCTTATTCTTATTAGCACATTTCTAATATCATGTTAATATGTTCAAGTATTAACGTGTTTCTAATATGTCTAATATTCTATTTCTGGGTTGTTTTGCACTTTATTATTCCCCTTATTCATTTTTAAAGAGTAGATTTCATTGATTAAACTCACTTTGAATTATAGTGTTTTCTGAGGCATCAATATTTGTGCTATTACCTGAAAATGTAATGTTTACCCTCAAATTTTTCAACACTTAGAAAAAGCTCACTACATCAATCATATATTTATATCACTGGGGACATATTAATGAGAGCTATTTTCTCTCTTCCCCTACTATTTGTTCTATGGCCAAGACATAGGAATATCTGCCCTTTCTGAGGCACAGAGTTAGGAAAAGTGGTTTTCTAACCACTTTTGTTTGTTGAGTATGTCCTCCCCAAGAGAGCAGGAATGACTATTTGGTGAATAGAGGAAAGGAGCTGAGCATTTCATGGCTTTCTAGGTCCTTCCTTTAGCTAGCCTTCAAAAGTGAAGTTTATCATGGCAGGCTCAGCCCCCAGTAGGGTGATGGTAAGGTAGCAGTCTATAGCACTGGTGATAAATTCAATTCAGTAGCGAAGGTATTAGGAGCCAATCTGACGGTGTACCCAAGCTTTTTCTCAAATTCACTTTAATCCATAAAAGAAAGATAATTTGCTCCATCTTACTGGTTGTTCAATTAAAAGATTGCTAAGTTGGAATGAGGGACAATGGGTGTGATTCTAACCTTTTATATGTCTCTCTAAATAATTATTTATGAGATATATAGATATAGATAATCCCAGTAAAATGCTTGAGTCATAGCATAGCTGTGCTTAGAGAGGCATGATTTATATCACACATTCTTATCTTGTTACTCATGTCAAATTAAAAAGCCTTATTAAATTCCAGGCAGAGGGAAAAAAAAAATATATATATATATACATACACACTCTTTACATAAAAATGTTAATTTGCATAGCATGTGGTACTTTTGATGAACAATTTATTTTTTTAATTTTGAAAGATTTTATTTATTTATTTGACAGATAGAGACATAGAGAGAGAGGGAACACAAGCAGGGGGAGTGGGAGAGGAAGAAGCAGGCTTCCTGCTGAAGAGGGAGCCCGATGTGGGGCTCCATCCCAGGACCCTGGGACCATGACCTGAGCCGAAGGCAGACGCTCAATGACTGAGCCACCAAGGTGCCCCCTTTTGATGAACAATTTAGATTATTTATCAATACTTTTGTTCTAGGCAAGGATGGGAAACAGGTTTCATTTCACATGTCAATTCTAAGAGCTGATAATTATTAGTATTTAATAAGGACAACTGACAATAATTATCATGTGCTGGGTACTGTAGTGAACCTAATGAATATATTATCTCATTTAATCCTATCATGAACCCCATGAAATAGGTACAAAATGATCAAATTTTATACATGCAGAGCCCAGGTGATCCTAACGTGTACTTGTAGATGAAAATGAGGAACTGGATTTGAAAGATACTAAAAAATGGATTTGATGTTATGAGGGGGATGTCAACAAGATGAGATCCTAGGATTATTCTCAGATTTCTGGTGTGGATTCTTAAGTGGATAGAATTATTTACCAGAACATAAAATGCAAAAGAAGGAAGGAGTTGGGGGGAAGAGGGATGTTCAGTTTTGGACATGTTGAACTTGAAATCCCCGTGAAACATCTAACTTTTATTGAATTTTTATTGTCTATTAGTATTCTTTGTTAGTTCATCTACGCTACTGTTTTACCTTATTGAGGCCTTGAGTTCCTTGGCTCACCCTCATCCTAATTTACAGTTGATTTCTTTACTTCTTTACTTACCCATGATTCACAAGAAACTTGCCAGTAGTCACAACTTTATTGCTCATTTGACCCTATTTATATTGAAAAATACCAGCTCAAAATTGATTCAAATATTTGTTGTCTCCGTTCCTCCCTATGGTCTCTGGCAACTCTTGCTGAAACAACTGTACCACTGATATAATTCTAAGTTCCAAATCTCTAACCTCAGTTGGATTTCAGGCACTACAGAGCAATTTTTTACATGTCTCTAGTTATCTTCTTTGTCATTCATTGTATTGTTCATGCCTCCTATTCCTCCACTTTCCTCCTTAGTCTCAGAAGATGACTTTACCTCTTACTTTATTAAAAAAATAAAGGACACTAAATGGAAACTAATTATCAATATCTTGTTCCATCAGTAGCAAATTTGTTTATATTGACAATGTCTCTTACCTCCTTCCAGTCAACTCAGAGGAATAGGTGCCCCTTTTCTTTCCCAAGAAAACATACATATCCATGTATGTTCTAAATTCCATCCCTTATTGCCTCTTTAGTTACTTCAAATAATCATCTAAAATTTTCCTGATATAATCAAATTCATCTCACCATAAATTTTCCCCCAGGACCAACAATGCATATCAACAATCCCAACTAAACAAAGAAGAGAAAAGAAAGAATAGAGGAAGGAAAGGAGGGAGGGAAGGAAGGGAGGAAGGAAGGAAAGAAAGAAAGAAAGAAAGAAAGAAAGAAAGAAAGAAAGAAAGAAGAAAGAAAGAAAAGAAAGAAAAGAAAAGAAAAGGAAGGAAAGGAAAAGAAGAAAGAAGAAAAGAAGTAGAAAGAAAGGAATAAGAAAGAGAAAAGGAAGATGAGAAAAGAGATTTCAAAACTTACCCCAAATCAGATTTTCTCCAGGCTGTCACATTTTTCTCCTAATACATTATAATTAAACCCATCTTCTCTATGCCAATTTGCCCCATCCCCTGCCCTCCATCTCAGTTCTCTCACCTGAGCTGATAATCCACATTACCTGCTTAATTGTACTTACTGGCATAAACCATAGACTCCTCTATCTCAAATACCAAAAAATAAATTTTCCTTTCCCACCCTCCAAACCTATTTATCCTTGCTGTACTCTCTATATGAATAAGTGGCACTCAATAAATGTTTATTGATTAAATAAATGATCTTTACCCACCTCTATTATTATTATTTATAACCCAATTAATATTATTTTCAGTTATTAAGAATTAAAACAAAGAAGATGCAAGAAAAATTATTTTAAGAGGAAATTAAAAGAATTGATCTAGAACATTGATCCAGGACTTAGGAAATCTAAACCCTGATGCAATGATTTCAATTTTCTCCTATGTGAAGTTCAGAAGTTGAACTATATATTTCAAAGGCTCTTTATAATAATAATATTCTATGATTATAAAAGCCTCTTTTGAGTCAGTGAGTTCTTACACATTATTTTGATTTATGTCTCAGTGTTCACAACTTGAAAATACTTATAGAAAAGTTTAAACATACTGTATTTATAACAGATAGAAGAACTTATGAGGTAATTTATGTACAATTATTTAAGCTTTTGGAATAAAAGAACAATTATCCATTTATTCCCTATGATAAACAACCTGGAAATTGGACATTTTAGTGTACAGGTATGAGTGTACTTATACACAACTTATATAAATAAGTTGTAATAATAAAATGATATCTGTGGAAAGTCTGTTCATTAAGTGATAAGGGGATCTCATGTATGTTTTTGGAAACAATTACCTGTTCGTCATTTATTTTACATGATAATTGTTGATACCAGAGAAAATATTCTGATGACATCACAGGGCAACAGAGCTTTGGACCACCAGGGGGAGTAAATTTCAAAGCCATTCTCCAGACTACCTTATTTGGCCTCGTTTTGCTCACTACCTTCCTTCAAATGGAATGGAAGAGACATACTTACAGAAATTATGAAAGCATAAAATGGAGAATGTTATTAAAGATTTGAAAAATGCAAATAAAAATACATCTAAAGGCAAACTAAGGTCTTAGGGTGAAAATAGAATAAACATAATGATTGTTCAGTCACCAGTATATAAAGCATAGAGAAAAAATGAAATCACTACCACGTAAACATGAAATTTGACATCACAGAGAACACATCACTGGAATTGAAGCTATTATCATCTAAGGGATTTTCCCCATGAATACAATCGATAATATATAATAACTAGGAAGGAATTTTGTTCCTATCTCTATTAATAATGAAATATTTTTAGGTTTTATACAGTTGGACCAGTAGGCTTTTATAGCACTTAAGACTTGTTTATGGTTATAAAATTAAAGCACATT